CGGGGAGCAGAAACACAGCGTTGAGAAACTGGGGAATACACCAGGTCCATCAGTACTCGTGCTCAAGGTTTCCCAGCCCTGTGCATCCGAGTGGGGACGGGACTAGCTCTTTCCTAAATGGGAACCTAAGGGGAACTAAGGCTAGATTCTAGCAGGGCAGCGTGGGGCTGGATGTAGCTGAGGTCTCCGTGTCAGACTCAGGAGAGATGCTGAGCACACAGCCCGGGTCAGACCAGACGGTGGGCAGACTCATGTCTCTGTTTGCTGAGCCCTGCAGAGTTCATGCGCGTCTGCTATCACAGCATCACCTGTCCCGTATCCTGATGAAGGCGAAGACAGACTGGAAGATGGAGCAAAATGCATAGGTTACACTGGGTTTGGAGCTCCCCTGGTAGCTCAGACAGTAAAGAATCCACCTGGGTTCCATCCCTGGGCTGGGAAGATCCCCTGGAGGTCTGCACGGCCACCCACTCCAGGATTCTTGCCTGGAAAACCCCATGGACAGAGGTGTCTGGAGGGCTACAGTCAGTGGGGTTGCAAAGAGTCAGACACGACTGAGCAACTAAGAACAGTACACCGAGTCTGACCCCCAAAAAAGAGAGAGAATGAGAAGGTGGTTGCCTGAGAAGGCAGTAAGCCTGTTGGAGCCCACTGGACTTTGTTCCAGGTGAGAAGGAGACAAGAAAGAGAGACACTGTCAAAGCAATAAAAGGAGGCAACAGAAGGAAAGGAGAGGTCCATCTTCATGAAAAGAAATGAAAGACTGAGATTCAAGGCAACAGTGAAGAGAGAAGTCTTGGAAGGAATGTTTGCTCAAGGCCAAGAGCAAAGGAAAGTAAAATGGGAGAAGAAACAAATTAGAAAAGGAATGATTAAAAGTGGAAGAAAACCTAACAATAGCGAAACGGACCACTTCCTCCCATCTTCAGATGGAGACATAATCAAGGGAATTTCCAAATGGCTGAGCTTGTGTTCATCTTGTCTCGCATATTTAAATGTTTTCAGCCTCATCCCCGCGGACTCCTCTTAAAACCTTGTCTTAATTTACTCTAAGCCTGATGTCTTCTAAATCTTCCATGTTTTTCAAGCCTCTCTGAGCAGTCACTTCTATACTTCCTCTAAATTTCATGCATTTAGATTGGCAACTGTGGGGTAGAAGAGCGTTTACCAGCCTGACTCAATGGGAGCACAAGGTCACTGCCTACAGCTACTGCAGGCAGGCGTCTTGTTTGCATCAGACACCAAACATAAGAAAAAGGCACACTTAATTTGAAAATAAAAAATGGTTGGGAAAAAAAGTAAGCTACATAAAAGTGTGTTCTGCTTTATATTAAGAAGAAAAGAAGGGAGGGAAGGAGGGGGTAGGGGGAGAGAGGGAGGGCGGGAGAGTTTCCAGTTCTAAAATCTCTGGAAAGTTGTCTAAGACATCCTCTCTCCTATTTCTGCTCTCTCCCACTAAGTTCCTAAGCCAGTAATGTCAAGTCAGTAGATAACTAAGTGCAAATGTACTGTTCCCATCACATGAGTCAACAGATTTAGAGGTAATAACTCCTGTGTGCCAGTATCACGCTTTAAAAACAAGGGGTGGTTGAGGGATGGATTGAGAGTTTGGGATCAGCAGACACAAACTGTTATACATGGATGGATAAGCAACAAGGTCCTACTGGATAGTACAGAGAACTGTATTCAGTATATCCTGTGATGAACCATAATGGAAAAAGAGTAGGAAAAAGAATATGCATGTGTATAACTGAATCACTTGGCTGTACAGCAGAAATTAACATAATATTTTAAAGTAACTATCTGCCAATAAAATAAATTTTAAAACACAATGATTGTTGTGTCATCTTGTCAGTAAATGAGGCTTCGGGGATCTGTCTTCAGGAGCACAGAGTCACTGGCAGGGGCTCCTCCACACGAGTCACACTCAGGCCCCGCGTCCGTCCCACCCTGTGTCTCTCTCCCCACCCACTGTATCCCACTTTCTCCCATCCCTTCCTCACCTTATACTCAGAAACTCCGGTCTTCAGTTCCCGCCTCCAGTCCACCCTGAATACCTCCTTGAACCATCATCTTCACCATGTCTTTCCCAGACCTAAAATCTTTCCAGGTTTCCCCATGGTGTGCTGCAGGGCCCATTCCATGGCGTTAACAGATAGGCTTCAACAGGCGCTTTGAAAACACTGAAATTCTGGGCCAGCTTTTTTATGCTGTGCGTTGTTTTGCTGGTAAGAATATTCTGTTTTATCACGTCCTCCTTGAGGCCCTAAAAATGGCTGAGAACCACCAATCTAGGGGCAAAATCCAAATTCAGCCTGCAAATCTGCATCCTAAGCACATCTTCGCTGGGTCAGTTCTCCTCCTAGTCATTCATGTGCTCATTCAGTAGATATTCACTGAGTACTTCTCTGTTCCAGACATGACAACAGACACCAAGGATCAAGTGAAAGTACAATTTCTCCCCTAATGAATTTCCAAGCTCTCAGCACAACACCCTGCTCAGGTGGGTAGGGAATTAGGTCTGTGGCCAGGCATGGCATTTCAGGAGTTGTAACAAGGTATGGATATGGAATAACAGAAATGGCCCTTGGGGTCAGGAACCAAAGGGGAAGGAAAGTCATATCCAAAGGGATCCCATCAAATCCAAAGGGCAGTGCTGGGCAGAGGTGAAAATGAAGCAGTAGCTGAACCCAAAGCTCAGCCAAGCTAAACAGAACAAATGCCCTCACGGAGGTAACACAGGATGGAGCTGATTGAGAATCTGGGGGACCCACACCTGCACCCAGGTTTCCTCCCCACCCTCCCGCTGTGCCAGGGTGAATGATGTCAGGACTCTGGGAAACAGCAAGAGGGGGCACTGAAGTCCTGGAGGGCCTTACAGCGGTGGTCACACACCCGCTGACCCTTCAAAGAAGAGCAGGATCGTGTCAGATGGACAGACAGGAAGGCAGGACATTCCATAAAAGGGAACATTAAGTGCAAAGCCCAGAGACCTGATGCAGACTGTTTAGGGGAGCTAACAGAGCTTCAGTACAAGTAGAGGTTTGGGGCAAATTATTTAGAGTTGACACTGATGCTTGGTATTCCAAAAGAAAATGAGATTTGTAGTTCAGAACACAAGAGCAGGGATAATTAGAGCTTGCTAGACCAAGCCCCTTTATTTCACAGAGCAACAAACTTGAGGTTAGGTGGGGAGTATCTGTTTCACCCAAGTTCAGTTCAGTTCAGTCGCTCAGTCATGTCTGACTCTTTGCAACCCCATGGACTGCAGGAAGCCAGGCCTCCCTATCCACTACCAACTCCCAGAGTTTACTCAAACTCATGTCCTTTGAGTCGGTGATGCCATCCAACCATCTCATCCTCTGTCATCCCCTTCTCCCGCCTTCCATCTTTTCCAGCATCAGGGTCTTTTCAAATGAGTCAGCTCTTCGCATCAGGTGACCAAAGTATTGGAGTTTCAGCTTCAGCATCAGTCCTTCCAATGAATATTCAGGACTAATTTCCTTTAGGCTGGACTGATTGGATCTCCTTGCTGTCCAAGGGACTCTCAGGAGTCTTCTCCAACACCACAGTTCAGAAACATCAATTCTTCGGTGCTCAGCTTTCTTTCACCCAAGTTAAGTAATGACAAAGTAAATGCTGCATCTTTGTCTGTTGGTCCCAGCTTTGATGATGCTTCTACAGCACACAGCCAGCCCTGGACCTGATCCAAATGATTTCTCCTCACACCCAAACTATTCAGAAAAAAAAACAAAAGTCCATGTCTACAAGGTCAGAGGGTAGGTAGGAAAATGATCATCTTTCACTTTTGTGGGTTATGATACCGAGCAGCTTTGGAGATTCTAGTAAGAAACAAAGGTGGGTAGACCTGCCAAGGGCACCAGGACTCCACCACCCCTGCCCGGGCCAGCATGAGGACCAGCCTTGAGTCTGGCGCCTGGGCAGTGGTGTTCTGGCAAATGTTGACCCACAAGCATTCGTTCAGGGCGAGAAGACAGGAGGCTCACCTTCAAAGCACTCCCACTTCTGTGCAGCAAGGATTCCCTTCACGGCCAGTCGCCACCGTAATGTAACAGAGACGCTGACAGTTACATCGTGCTGGTGACGGACAGTCAGGGCTCAGAAGCCAGGACATGCTGGTTCACACACAGCACCACAGGCAGGCCTCCGTAAGCCCCTCCTACAACCAGCCCACCAGCGAGGTCTTCAGCCTCCCCAGCTTCTGTCTTGGTTGAGCCAGGGCTCCCCATTCATGGCAGACACAGTAAGATAGTTCATCTATTTTGCTAGCGCGTGCTGGGCTTCCTAGAAGAATAGAAAGAGACTAAACCCCGCCTTGCAGGCCCAAGAGCACTAGCCAGCGGCTTCTGACCTTGGCTCACGACCTTGAACTTGACCTTGGTCCCCATAGTGGGGTGCTCATCACACTTTAGGGACAAGAGTGACCAAAACACTGGCCCAAGTAGAGTTGGGACACCATCCCCTTACAAAGTGTCTCAGCAGCCTCAAAGGAAGTCCCAGGTTTCCACTGCTTCAGGAGTTCTTCCATTGTCCTGAAATTAACAGCACTGAGATCACGTTTCCAGACGGAGCTCAGGAGCCATTAGGCAGAAACTGAGGTCAAGGGTGGCTGGCTCCTGGGGACAGTTTCGAGCCGTGAGGGGCCATAGGGAAGGTCACCAGCCACAGCCGATTTCACGCGCTGGTGAAATCACAGCTGGCTTCACACAGCGGAGTGTGACCGACGGGCTCCAGGCAAAGCACTACGTACAGCCCGGCGTCCCTTAGGACCTGGGCCACACCTTCGCAGCCACGCCAAGGCGGCTGTTTGAAAGGTCCTTTAAGGGAAAGCCTTCCAGGGCTGGGGCTCGTGCAGGAGCGTCCCCTGCAGGCCTTCACCCCTTAGCCAGCCCCGCTGGAGCTTCTGTAACCACCACGGGGAAGCGTTCTAGCCCCGCTTCTGTCTTCTGCATCCTTGGCCCCTGTTGACTTTGAGTCACCTGGCCACTCTGCGGCTCGCTGCTGCCCCCTCCTGTCGCCAAGTGGTAATAACTCCACAGGCCCCATCCTCTGGACCAGTACCCAAGGTCCCGGAACCCCGCCTTCTGCATTTTCCTCTGTACTGTGTGCAGGTCTTCCCGCTTTGTAGTCGGGTTTCCTGGACAACTATCTCTCCTGGATCCCTTCCTAATATGTCTGTGGGCAATTGTGAGTCTTTTCCTGACTTTCCTCTTGTTCCTTATTAATTAAGAGCGTCTTCAAAGAGACAATTCAAGGACGCTTCTTCTCTGTTCATATAGTCACACGTGGGGAAACCATCCGCATACAGATTTCCAAGCAACAGCCTCAGTGGAAGTCGTAGATTTCCATTCCAAGATCTGTGTTGCATTTTTCTCTGTGTGTTGCATTTCCACCCCTGCGTTGTTCCTTCTCTCTCTTTTCATTCTTATTTATAGATTTCTGGGCTGGAGTTAAACATTCAGTGGGCTGTCTGGCCCGGCCTTAGAATGACAAAAATATAAGAGCCAGGCTTTAAGGGACAAACTGTGTAGATCTTTCTGAGAAGATTAGATGTGTACATCCAGCAAACCTCTGCTGGAAATTCATCAGCACTGGAAAAATTAGTTGATCAGACTCAAAGAACAGGCAAACATATACACAAACCAAAACAACAGGGTTTTTGGTCATGTACATATGACGAACCACTCAACAGCATTCGGGCAGAAAAAAAGCACTAGCCGTGTGGTTTTCACTAGCCTTTGCACCCCTCCCCTGTATAACCCCATCAAAAAATGAACAGCTTTATAATTTACAAATATACACACATATGCTAATTCTATTTTCTAAAGAGATGGAAAGATTCACAGCATGCCAGTGTCAGTTCTAAACCTGAAAATCTATTGAGGATTAAGTTCTAAGCTTATCCTTTCTAAATTCATCCATAATAATGAGATTTTTGGTTCATTTGAATATAAATGCTATAGCTGAGTATCTGTAAGCAGACTTTATTAAAGTCCTCACCCAAGTTATTACTGAATGTGTTGCCTATGTGTCCAACAGGATTTTCTTTAAAAAAAAAAATTAACATTTACTCAGAAGTGAGCTAAAATGAGTCCATAATGTAAACAAATCACCTCATTTCTATTTTATATAATCGTACTTTATTTTACTTTTAAAATTAACCTCGGCATTTTCCATTTTTAATAAAGAAGTATTTTCCTGTCATTGAATAACATTAGCTGAGCTAAATCAAACTGTATGCTGCCAGTTTTATAAAAGCAGTCCACTCTCAAGTAAGCATAACTTATCATTAGCAATGTAATATACTTATTATAAGATGGCTTTTTTAAAGCTTCATTAAATGTTGCCAATAAACACATTACCAGCAATGGATTTTGCATATCCTAAGGAATGAGGCATCATTTTTGAGCTTTAACAGGACAAACGTAAGGTTATTCAACCTATAGATAACCCATATTATAGATATCCATCACTATTACTTGAAGGGAAGTATATTAAATTAAAACAATTTAAAGTGGTGAACATAACCAATCTTTAATATGGAAAATTTCAGAACTTAAGAACTATACTTGAATGCAGGTATTACAAAAACTGACAAGAAATAGCAAATTCTTCAATTGTCTGCAAACAGAAATGACTATAAAACACAATCTGCCTCAATTATAAGTGATGAGAAACTAGTAATAAATTAGTATGCCTTGAACTTATATGCAGAGTACATCATGAGAAACTCTGGGCTGGAGGAAGCACAGGCTGGAGTCAAGATTGCCGGGAGAAATATCAATAACCTCAGATATGCAGATGACACCATCTTTATGGCAGAAAGTGAGGAAGAACTAAAGAGCCTCTTGATGAAAGTGAAAGAGGAGAGTGAAAAAGTTGGCTTAAAGCTCAACATTCAGAAAACTAAGATCATGGCATCTGGTCCCATCACTTCATGGCAAATAGATGGGGAAACAGTGGAAACAGTAGCTGACTTTATTTTTCTGGGCTCCAAAATCACCGCAGATGGTGATTGCAGCCATGAAATAAAAAATGGTTACTCCTTGGAAGGAAAGTTATGACCAACCTAGATAGCATATTAAAAAGCAGAGACATTACTTTGCCAACAAAGGTGCGTCTGGTCAAGGCTGTGGTTTTTCCAGTGGTCATGTATGGATGTGAGAGTTGGACTGTGAAGGAAGCTGAGCACCAAAGAATTGATACTTTTGAACTGTGGTGTTGGAGAAGACTCTTGAAAGTTACTTGGACTACAAGGAGATCCAACCAGTCCATCCTAAAGGAGATCAGTCCTGGGTGTTCATTGGAAGGACTGATGCTGAAGCTGAAGCTCCAATACTTTGGCCACCTGATGCGAAGAACTGACTCATTTGAAAAGACCCTGATGCTGGGAAAGATTGAGGGCAGGAGGAGAGGGGGATGACAGAAGATGAGATGGTTGGATGGCATCACCGACTCAATGGACATGGGTTTGGGTGGACTCCAGGAGTTGGTGATGGACAGGGAGGCCTGGCATGCTTCAGTCCATGGGGTCACAAAGAGTCAGACACAACTGAGTGACTGAACTGAACTAAACTGAACTGAAGTCCCAGGTTTTTGTATTTCAGGCAGCTAACATTAAAAAAAAAAATAAATGACTGATAAACTGATAAAAACTTTGTGTAAACATATAGCTCAGTACTTGAACAAAAGAGTAAACATAAGAGCAGTCATTAATTTGCTGATGGTTCTTAACAGTTTCTTGGACATCTACCAACGTTTGTGCACTCAGAGCTCTGTAGGAAACCAATAGCTCTTCAGTACTGCCACTAGATGGCAGAGACCTGGCGACGCAGCCTTAGTCTAAAAGTAGTTAAAACTCTGGGACTCAGTTCAGTCGCTCAGTCGTGTCCGACTCTTTGTGACTCCATGGACTGCAGCACGCCAGGCTTCCCTGTCCATCACCAACTCCTGGAGTCCACCCAAACCCATGTCCATTGAGTCAGTGATGCCATCCAACCATCTCATCCTCTGTCGTCCCCCTCTCCTCCTGCCTTCAATCTTGCCAGCATCTGGGTCTTTCCCACTGAGTAGGTTCTTCGCATCAGGTGGCCAAAGTATTGGAGTTTCAGTTTCAACATCAGTCGTTCAAATTAATATTCAGGACTGATCTCCTTTAGGATGGACTGGTTGGATCTCCTTGCAGTTCAAGGGACTCTCAAGAGTCTTCTCCAACACCACAGTTCAAAAGCATCTATTCTGCGCTCAGCTTTCTTTATAGTCCGACTCTTACATCCATACATGACCACTGGAAAAACCATAGCTTTGACTAGACAGAACTTTGTTGGCAAAGTAATGTCTCTGCTTTTTAATATGCTGTCTATGTTGGTCGTAGCTTTTCTTCCAAGGAGTAAGCGTCTTTTAATTTCATGGCTACAGTCACCATCTGCAGTGATTTTGGAGCCCAAGAAAATATAGTCTGTCACTGTTTCCACTGTTTCCCCATCTATTTGCCATGACGTAATGGGACCAGATGCCATGATCTTAGTTTTCTGAATGTTGAGCTTTAAGCCAACTTTTTCACTCTCCTCTTTCACTTTCTTCAGAAGGCTCTTTAGTTCTTTGCTTTCTGCCATAAGGATGGTATCGTCTGCATATCTGAGGTTACTGATATTTCCCACAGCAATCTTGATTCCAGCTTGTGCTCCATCCAGGCTGGCATTTTGCATGATGTACTCTGCATAACAGTTAAATAAGCAGGGTGACAATATACAGCCTTGACGTACTCCTTTCCCAATTTGGAACCAGTCTGTTGTTCCATGTCTAGTTCTAACTGCTGCTTCTTGACCTACATACAGATTTCTCATGAGGCAGGTCAGGTGGTCTGGTATTCCCATCTCTTGAAGAATTTTCTACTTTTTTTGTGATCCACACAGTCAGAGGCTTTGGCGTAGTCAATAAAGCAAAAGTAGATGTTTTTCTGGAACTCTCGCTTTCTTGATGATCAAGCGAATGTTGGCAATGTGATCTCCGGTTCCTCTGCCTTTTCTAAATCCAGCTTGAACATCTGGAAGTTCTCGGTTCATGTACTGTTGAAGCCTGGCTTGGAGAATTTTGAGCATTTTTGCTAGCGTGTGAAATGAGTGCAATTGTGCAGTAGTTTGAACATTCTTTGGCATTGCCTTTCTTTGGGCTTCTCTTGTGGCTCAGCAGGTAAAGAATCTGCCTGCAATGCAGGAGACCCCAGTTCAATTCCTGGGTCAGGAAGATCCCCTGGAGAAGAGATAGGCTCCCCACTCCAGTATTCTTGGGCTTCCTTGGTGGCTCAGCTGGTAAAGGATCTGCCTGCAAAGTGGGAGACCTGGGTTCCATCCCTGGGTTGGGAGGATCCCCTGGAGAAAGGAATGGATACCCACTTCAGTATTCTGGCCTGGAAAATTCCATGAGGTCGTAAAGAGTTGGACACAATTCGGAATGGTAGGCATACAGAAAAGTTTTTATAATACCTTGGGTCAAATAATTAATGTCTTTCTTTATGCCAGATTCATATTTCCCATATGAAAATTTAGGGTACTAGAATTTAACAGGTTGGCACACATTAGAAAAGGAAAGAAAGTGGTAGAGGAAAAGAAATATATTTTCCATAAAATTTGCTTATTTTTAGCTAGATAAATATTATAACAGAATAGCATAAGGGAGAAATACAGAGGTTAAAATCATGATTCTCCCCTCCACCCACCTTGGAATGAACACAGAATATGTATCTGCAACTATTAGAAACACACAGTTACAGATTAACAGCTTGGTTGAATTTAAATTGAAACCATCTGGTGGTGTATTGAATGACTTAAATGTCTTTAAATATAATGGTAATTTTCACTCCAAACAACATTGTTAAACAACTTACTGGAAAAAAAATTCACATACCATATAATTCAACTTATAGTGTACAATTCAATATTTCCCAATAAAGCCACAAAATTATACAACCATCACCACAATCTAACTTCAGAAGATTTTGTTTCCTTTATAAGAAGCCCTGTACCCACTGTCAATACACATTCTCTCTACAACCCCCCACTCAGCAAACCCTAATCTACTCTGTGTTTCT